ACCTGATCCCTTCGACACCTCGTGGTTGCATAGGCTGGTGTGCTTCTTCCATGTGCAACCAATACTTTCAACCACGCCTCCCCAGCCAGAGTTTAAAATATCCTGGCTGTGGGAAGGCCACTCTCTCTTACCTGGCTCCTGGTGGCAGGGGAAGGTGAAGGTCTCCCTCCCCCATCGCTGGCGCACTTGTGCCCACTCCAGGCCTACTAAGGGCCCACAACCTCTCTTACTCTTTTACCCTACTCTCATGGTCAGAGGCATGTTGGAGGGTGGAGGTGCGCAGGGGCAACCTGGGTGTGCCCCCTTTGGGCCCACATCCTCTCTAGCCCTGCGCTTGCTCTCTGGCTTTGGTTCCCGCCCCCTCAGGTCCACAGGTGTGGGTGCTCTTTTCCATGAGGCTCGTGCCCACTTGTGAAACCCTTTGGGAAGACTGTAAAACCTGAAACTTCATAAAAACTCACTTGGATTACAAAACAGCTTCAGCATAAATTCTTTCATCATGCGAAGCCAAGAACCGAGATATGAGCCACTCAAAAAACCTAACATTACCTGGAAGCAGGCCCAAGACAATGCTGCCAGACCACTTTGTTACTTGTCCGCCTCTAGCTCCCTGTGTCCCCGTGCCGGCTGTTCCCTGTGCACTGTGTGCTCTTCTGCTCCTCAATGCCTCTCCTGAGCCTGGCTAATTTCTTTTTCTTTTCTTTATTTTTTGAGCTTGGCTAATTTTTTGTTACCTCCCAGCTCTGAGTTTGTGTGCCGCGTCCTCAGGGCCATCCATTCTGAGTTCTGATATAAAATTTCCAGCAATAAGATCTGATATAAAATTTCCAGCATAACACATAAATGCCATTCATTTCCATAACTCTCATGCTTTAGCTGTTGGTGTAATTTTAGATTCCTTGGGTGGGAAGTGCCTCGGTCCTTGGCTTCACACGGGGAAAAAAAATTCATGCCAGAGCCTGGTTTGTGATCCAAGTGAGTTTTTAGAAAGGATGGAAGTTTCAGGTTTTATAGTTAACTGAGCACAGGACTGCACCCCCACACATGTGGCGACCTGAGGCCCGAGAGAGACCACAGCACACTGAGTGGAAGGCCGAGGAGCAGTGAAGGTGGGGTGGGGGAGGCAGGCGGTGGTCTCCAGGTTCCGGCTTTTAGGGCCTTCTGCTGGGAGCTGTGGTCAATGGTACTGGTTGACCCCATTGGCTGAATTAAACTCACCTGGCCTAGTACTGTCTTGGGCCTGAATGGGTGCATGCCCTTTAGCCTGCGTTGGCTTCCAACCTCCTGTAGGAGTCCCCTAGGCGTGGGGAGGAACAACCCTCTATCGGGCGACCTACCACGACTAGACTTTAAGCTCCACGAGGGCAGAGCCTATGCCTGTCTGAGAGCTCTCCCAGTGCTGAGGGTAGTGCCTGGAGAGTAGCCGTTTCTCAGCTGTTGGGCACTGAATGGAGGAAAGAACGAATGCAAGCGTTGTGTTGTGCTGCCTTCTTACTCATTCAGGTAGCAGACCCCCCATTCAGACCCTGCTCTATGCCAGCCTCTCGGCATGAGAACAATGGGAGGCCTGCCACGGTGATCATCAGTCTCTGCCCTTGAGGAACCCTAAGGATAGCCCCATCAGGGAGTGGAGAGCAGATGTGATGAGGCTAGAAAGGCAAGCCATCCTTTTTCAGAACTGGCGTTCCGTTCACTAAGTTGAAGACTGGCCTAAGGTTGCACAGTTTAGATGGGGAAGGAAGCAGAAATCTGTTGATAAAAGACATTAAAGAAACTGACCATCCTGAGTGAAGTAAGATCAAGACAAATGGTGCTCATCTGAAAAAGCCCAACTATCCGTAATTTAAACAAGATAAAACGTTTTTGGTTTTTTTCTGTGCTTGAGCACTCCAGGCTTGAAATAGCTCTCCAGGAAGTCACCAGTGGGTCAGACGTCCTCCGTGATCTTGCTCTGCCTGCTGTGGGTGACCTCTGTGTCTATGATTATCTCATGACCCAGAGTAGCTGCTTAGCTCCAGCCACCCCATCTACATACATTCCCGGCAGCAGGAGGAGAGCAGTCTCCTCTTTCTCTGTACAACACAACCATGAAGCCCTCTTGGCAGAGTGGGCTGCCTGCTGGGCAGCTAACTGCAGAGCTCAGCAGTGGGAAAACACCAGCCACTCCTGGGGAGGAAGGGGGGAGGCTTTCTGCTCCCCCGACTATTGACAGTCTTGGAAAACCACAATGCCAGTTCTACTCTGCCCTCTAGGGTCACTCTGAGGCCAAACTGAGTCTGGTTTTATGGAACACAACTGCTTTCAACTCCTTGGCTCGAGCTGCTCAGTCTGGGAGAGCGGCCTCCGGCCCCAGCCGACCATTGAGCACCGGTCCAGAGCTGTGCTGTCCGTGGAAAACAGACGTCAAAAAGTCAACTATTGCATTAGTGTGAAAGTTTTTACTATAGCTTGAAATGATATTTTCAGATAGTTGGGTTGAATGAAATAACATCAATATTAATTATTTTTATTTAAATGTTTTTGTTGTTGAGAATATCCACAGCAGCACCTACACTGATCCAACAGTTTGCCCTGTGCAACTTGACGAGCCCGATTCCATTCTTCATGGATCGCCTCCTGCCCACCGTCCTCCTCTGAGCTGGACCACCTCCTACCCCAACACACACACACACACACACACACACTTCTAAAACACGTGCCTGCTAGAAAATTTAAATTACCTATGGAGAAGTACTATAGTACCATAGATACTCAAGTATAAGCCGAGTTTTTCAGCACATTTTTAATGCAGTTTTGTGGTAAAATTAGGTGCCTTGGGTTGGCTTATACTTGAGTATATACGGTATGGCTGTTTACTGGCCTACAACAGACTCGCAAGTGCTCACTGTCAGAAAGGCTGGGGATTGTAGTATTTTGATAGACTATCAGTTGTCTTCAGCTGAAAATCAAATTCTGTTATTAAAAAGGAAGGGAAAATAAGTATTTGACGTAAGCAATTAGCAGTGTCTCCCATATAGGTGGGGGTTTCAAAAGTTAGTTGAAAACTAGAATTCAAAGATAACGGGATTTTTCCATGAACTTTTGAAGTGTGTATGTGTGTGTATGTGTGTTTCCTGAAAAGTTGGAAGACACACACAAAGCCCACAGTAAATAATCGCCGTTGAGTAGTATATTAAAGAATCCACTAGCGTCTTTGTCCTCAAAGAGCTTGCCAACTTAATTGGGAGATACACAGATGGATAAACCACAACCCACTGTCTCTAATTGATTCTGCCTCAGAACGACTCTATAGGACAGAGGAGAACTGCTCCTTAGGCCTTTTGAGACTAAATCTTTACAGGAGCAAATAGCTTCTTCTTTTTCCCACAGGGCGGCTGGTGGGTTTGAACTGCCAGCTTTGATGTTAGCTGCCCCATGTTTAACCCACTGTGCCACCAGGGTCCCTTAGACAGAAAACTCATTCACTGCCTTTGAGTCCATTCAGATTCACAGCAACCCATAGACCAGGGTAGAGGAGCCCTGGTGTGCTTCCCAAACCGTAACCCTTTAAGGGACTAGAAAGGCTTGTCTTTCTCCCACGGACCAGCTGCAGCCTAAAGGTAACCCCATGCCACCCAGGCTCCTCAAACAGCTATGCAGTCAATAAGAATGCCATTGTTAAAAAGGAAAGGAAAGAATGCCATTGTTGACAGGGCAGTCTGCATTTCAGAAGACCAGCTGAGTCAGTGTTTCTGGAGAGCTGGAAAGCACGCGGAGGGGAGGAGGGGGGCTGGGGGAAGAGCTCTGGGGCCTTGGTGAGAGAAGGGAATGTCACAGAGAGAGCACCTTGGCTGGGCCCCTATCCCCCCCACACACACCTGAGACTCCCCCTCTTCCACCTTGTGAGTTGGCTAGAGCAGAGGAAGCATGGTTGGGCTGGGAGTCAAGGTGGGGCCGTTGTTTTGAGCACTTCTCCAGGGAGCGGTGTTCTCTGTCCCTCCTCTCTGTCTAGGACATTGTATTCAGCCTTTTGCATGGAGCTGGCCTCCCGTGGCTTTGTGGTTGCTGTCGCAGAGCACAGGTGAGGGTCACAATCATCATGACTGATGACAGGGCGGGTTCTTGCAGGGGCCTAGGATTTAGGTTAGTCAAGTATTCGTAATTATTTCTGATCCTCACAATATCCACACCAGACACGGATTATCTCCATTTTAAAGGTTAAGAAACCAAGGTTCAAAGACTTTAAATGCCCCAAATGATAGTGCTGGGTTCAAGCCCAGATCTGTCCCTCAAGTTTGTCATTTTACCATGACATTGTAAGCATCCCGAGATCTCCTTCCCAAGTAGCTACAGGGTGACCCAGAGTGTCTTGGCCCCAAGGGGAAAAGAAGGCTCTAGAGAGTCCTCTGGTATCTGATGGCGTGTGTATTTCAGGGACCAGTCAGCTGCCACCACCTATTGCTGCACAAAGGCTCCAGAGGAGAACCCCACCAGTGAGTCACTGGAGGAAGAATGGATCCCCTACCATCAATTTGGAGAAGGGGAGAAGACGTTCCATGCTCGGAATGCCCAGGTAGGCTTATGCCAATGGGGGAGAAACCTGCTCTCCTGATAGCACAGTCACTAAGCCAGACCACTCACCCTCCCTTCTTGAAATGGGAATCACAGTGGGCTGAACTTGTCACTAAGTCAGGAGAAATGGGTCACTCTTCATTTGCATTGTAAATAAAGGAAACCCACCTTCAGTTTGCATAAGCACTGAAGGGCCTTGATTGACTCCTACAAGCAGGATGGAGGAAAGGCAGGACCACTGGTCCCAGACTCGCATCTCATTAGGGCTCAGGCATCCTTTCTCAGCTCTGTCTCTTCTGTGGGACAGCCTTATTCACAAACTGGTTAGTTTATGAGATTAGAGCTGTACCTCTTTATTTTTTAAATCATTTTATTGGAGTCTCTGATCACAATCCATACATCCATCCATTGTGTCAAGCACATTTGTACATTTGTTGCCATCATCATTTTCTAAACATTTTCTATTTGAGCCCTTGGTATCAGCTCCTCATTTTTCCCCCCTTCCTCGGTCATGATAATTTAGAAATTATTATTATTTTTTCATGTCCTACACTGACCGATGTCTCCCTTCACCCACTTTTCTGTTGTCCATCCCCCTGGGAGTGGGTTACAGGTAGATCATTGTGTTCGGTTCCTCCTTTCTCCCCACACCTTCCCCTTACTCTCCTGGTACTGCTACTCTCAATATTGGTCCTGATGGGGTTTTTGACCTGGATTCCTTGTGTTTCCAGCTCTTATTTGTTCCCGGGTACGTGCTCTGGTCTAGCGGATTTGTAATGTAGAATTAGGAGGGAGGTAGCAGCAGTCAAGAACTAGAGGAACGTTGTATGTTTCAACGGCGCTGGACTGCTCCCTGACTGGCTCACGACCCTTCTGTAAGGGGCTGTCCAATTGTCTACAGATGGGCTTTGGGTCTCCACTCTGCACAACCCCTCATTCACAATGATATGATTTTTTAGAACTGCAGCTCTTAATAGCTGTGAGCTTACAGATGTTCAGCCTTACTGTGTCAGTGTGGTTTCTCAAGAGCAGTAAAACCAGTGGAGCTTGTGTGTGTGTGTACAGAGAGAGAGATTTCTATCACAGCTGACTCACAGTTGTACAGGTAGGTACAGATAGTTCAGTTCAAGTCGATAAGTCAGGTATATGCTGGAGGCATCCCCTGACTCATGTAACTGGGGACAAGAAGCAGGATGATAAAGTAGGAGGGCCACAAGCTGGTTGGATGCAGAGGTAAATGAATTCGAGGTTGGCTGAATGAATCCAGGATCAGTACTCTGCTGATGGCTCCTGGGATAGGCAATGCGCAGCAGGAAATTGACAAACCAGCTGCAGGATCCAGCTCCAGTACAAGGCGGAGGGGTGAGCATTGCTAAACTGCTCTGGGTCTCTCGCTTACACAAAAGTCCACACCCCAAAGGAAATGGCATCTGGCTGAAGCATGATTGATGTGTTGGGCCCCGCCCTTACCTTCACCCAGCAGTGTCTATTTGACAGAAACTCTAAACATCACACTTACCTTCTCAGAGAATACAGTTTCTTTTGGCAGGTGCCCTATTAGCCTAAGGTGCACGTTCCTCTGTCCTAAACTGCAATCCTGGGAGGACCTCCAGGGATAAGGGAAAAGTACAAGCGGTCCCTGAGTTATGAAGGGATTTCCATAAATTGGAAGGAAGTCTAATATCTTACCCCGCCCCCAAGTTTTCATTAATATTGTCCTTGATGATCAGTAGCGTTAAAAATTCTATCGTCATTTGTCTTGGGGGATTGGAAGTGTCACATATAAACTTATAGCTTCGACATCTGCCCTTCCTGCTTCCCCAGTTATCTGCATTTTACATGTGCCAAAAAAAACACCATTCAGTAGTGCGATTTGCTGTAACTCAAATATATCACAATTTGGGGGCTGCCTGTACCCACATTTTACCAAAATCCCCACCAGAAATACAGGAGAGGGGGGCGAGTTGCTAAACAGACCAGACCAGTACCTGTAAGTGTGCCCTGTTGTCTGGTGCCTGCTGTTAGCTGCTGTCCCCTTGGCCCCTGATTCATGGTGACCTCATGCACAACAGGACCAAATTTGACTCCAGCCCCATAGAAGGTTCTGGATCAGATCATTGAGTTCTCACTGGCTTATTTTTGGCAGGAGGTCACCAGCCCCTTCTTCTTAATTCATCTGGTCCGGAAGCTGCTCAAACGCTCAGGCACAGCAGCATGCAAACCCCCAGTGACAGCTGGGTGCTGGCTACTTACCGGCTTTCCAATAATACTCTCATTTCTTGTTGTTTTCAAGACACTTCCTTATACATGATCTCATTTCATTCCTCCCTGACAGCCAAGCAACTCCGGTGGCACTGTTGACTAAGCATTGGGCTGCTAACCACAAGGTTGGCAGTTCAAAACCACCAGCCCCTCCGTGGGAGGAAGATGAGTCCATCTGCTCCCATAAAGATGTTCAGCCATATCCAGGGTCCCTGTGAGTTGGGATCAACTGGCAGTGGGTTTTCTGACGGCCCTGAGCGTGGGAAAACATCTGGCCGAGTCTGTCTTGCTGTTGGGTGGTGCGGATGGGGGCTGTGGGAATCCAGGAGTGGTACACTTGGCCAGCCACCAGGTCGGTGGTTTACTTCCACCCAGAGGGGCCTCAGGAGTGAGGCCTGGTGATCTGCTTCTAAAAGTCACAGTCCTGACAACCCTTTGGAACAGTCTGCACCTAACACATGGGATTTCTGTGAGCCAGAAACAACCCGACTGCGACGCCAACAGCACAGTTGTGCTGTGAGGGGCAGAGTCGTTGTCAGGATGACGGGCCCACCGTGTCTGTGTGCAGGTGTGCACGGGCAGACCTCCTTGGTCCTGTCGTCGGGTGGTTGTGCAGTAGTCCAGCTCCCACTGGGATTGTCTGTGTTGCAGGTGCATCAGAGAATGAGTGAGTGTGTCCGGGTGTTGAAGGTCCTACAGGAGGCCACTGCTGGGCAGACTGTCCTCAACATCTTGCCGGGTGGATTGGATCTGATGAGCTTCAAGGTATGGCAGAATATGATTTGAGCTGAAATGAATGTATTTATGAAGCATGTCTTGGTTATAAATATCAGAAGATGAACTCTCATTAGCATAAAACAGCTAAGAATTATGGACTCTCAAAACCAGGAAGAGCCAAGGCTTTAGCCAGTGAATAACCGTGGTGTACATTTTTTTTAAGTAACTTGTATGAGGACTTAACATGTGTGGTAAGTGATCGCCATACAATCTTAGGAATCACAACTTTTGGCCCTGGTTTTTCTGTTTCGCCTTACCAACCATTTAGTGTGTGTCTTCAACCCTTGCCAGACTGGCGGAGCACACAGCACTCAAGTCCTGGCCTGCCCCCCTGTGCGTCAGAGACAGACGTTGGGGAATGGCAGGTTGCCCTTAGATGGGTTAGTTATGAGGCAGCCTTGGGTTCACGCACAGAATTTCAAAGGCTAAGTTTCACCTATCAGATTGGATGAGATCCAAAAATTGATAACTCACTGTGATGGCAAAGCTACGAGGAAGTCAGCACTCCCTACGTTGCTGGGGAAGGCAATTTGGCAATAGGTGTCAACAGTGCAACTGCATCTGGTTTCCATACACTAATGCCCTTCTTTCCTGTGCTGATGGGACTCGCAAAAGATGGGTAGTCCACTAAATGACCACCCCAGTGAGGGGAGTGGTCTCACAGATGATGGTTCCACCGATATGTGAATGGAGATGCTAAGTTAAAGCACCGAGACACCACCTCTCCGTGGCTCTAATGCAACAGGAATGCGTTCCTCTGCCACATACAGTCCCCACTGGGTGTTCTTCTAGAGGAGACAAATCAAGAACCGAGCGCTCTGCATCCTGCGGCTCTGTCCTTTTCAGCCTTGGGCCACTCGCTCACTCTGTCTGTTAAGCCAGCAGGTGGGAACGAGCCTGGAAGTTTGTAGAAGGAGTTTTGTATGAACCAGGTCTGGAAATGGAGATCTTTTGCTCACATTCTTTTGCCTAGAACTCAATCACAAAGCTACAGCTAACTGCAAGGGAGGCTAGAAAACAGAATCTAGTTACCCGTCCAGGAAGGAGAGGAACAGATTTGATGATCAGCTAAGCTGTCTATGCCACAGCAAACTCAAATATAGCTATGAAAAAGGACAAGGTAGTTCTGTATGAACTAATGTCATTAAAAAAAAAAGACAGTGCCACTTATGTTAAAGGTGGGTGTAAGGAATCTCTGGAAGGTCATACAAGAAACCAGATCGCAAACCGGCTCAGCCCAGTTCAGTCACGGCTGGTGAGGTGACACCAGAATAGATAACTTATAAAATGTGGATGAGCCAGAGTGATAAAAAGGTGGGGTGAAAAGGGGGAACTGATCACAAGGATCTGCATATAATCCCCTCCCTGGGGACAGACAACAGAAAAGTAGGTGAAGGGAGACATCCGACAGTGTAAGACATGACAAAATAATAATAATTTATAAATTATCAAGGGCTAATGAGGGAAGGGGTGGTGGAGAGGGAGGGGGAAAATGAGGAGCTGATACCAAGGGCTCAAGTAGAAAGCAAATGTTTTGAGAATGATGAGGGCAACAAATGTACAAATGTGCTTGACACAATGGATGGATGTGTGGATTGTGATAAGAGCTGTATGAGTCTCCAATAAGATGACTTTAAAAAAGAAAAACAACAACAAAGACACTGGCTCGAAACCCTGCTGGAAACGTATCTCCCTCTGAGGAAACCAGGGCAGCGTGCACGTCACATAGCAGACAAATCTCGTGGCTGGTTGAGTGGAGTTGAAACTGTGGTTCCTGGCTCACAGATGGCAGCCAGCCCGTGGCTCTGAGTGGGGCTGTGCTCCACAGACCGGGTGCTAATCCATCATCAGGCATCAGCCTCCGAAGAGAACTGACTGCAGCTCTTCCGAGCCATTCAGTCCAGGGGCTTTGTCCTGTCATTTTTCCCATTGCAGTTAGTGTACCAGATCACCCAAATTTTAGGATTTCCAGTCAATTCTGATTTCATTCTGTGGGCTCTACTGGTTTAGTTGGGGGCCACGACTGAACCCATTTGAACTGGTTTGAGTCCCTGCCAACAATTCATAGCAGTGGCTGCTCATTTGGAGGTAGGGAATGAGCAACGATGTAGATAGGGAATGGGGTGGGTGGGGAAATTCTCTATATACATTTGACTTTATCATTATTGACTATTTAGTCTACTTTTAAAAAATCTAAAAAAAAATTTTTTTGTTTTAAACCTGTTCCAACCAAGTTGTCGATCTGAAGTTGCTGAGCAAAGAGGGAGAATTTAGGTGTAAAGCTCCTGGGGTGAGCAGAGGGAAGCCAGGGTTCAGAGCAGAGGCTGGGCAGCAGCGCCTAGAAAGCGAGCGAGCTCCCGAGCGGCTTTGTAGCTGCAACGGTCGTTTTTTATGTAACCATGCCCCGAAGGCTTCTGGGGACAACCAGAAATAGATATTTGCAGAGCCTGTTAGAGCAGGCAGACTCAGCCTCCCCACCCCTCTGTCCCAGGCTTTGGATGAAGATCCGGCCAGATAGCCAGAGGAAGGAGCGCCCAGGTTGGTTTCTGGACCGTCTACCCTTGCTCCTGAGCAAAGTGGCTGGGCAGAGAGCTCCCCAGCCATCCAGGCCTCAGTCTACCAGGGAGGGTCCTAGAGGATGGAGGGGGTGCTGGTGCTCAGGGTTCTGAGACTGAGGCGATGCTGTGGATGCTGCATCGTTTCTACCCACTTGTTTATAGTTAGTTGACTGTCTCTCTTCGTCCAGGCATTAAGTGATAAAGGGTATAAAAATAAAGATGTAAAGTAGGGTTTTCAGAACTCCTGCCATCTGCATTCGTGTTCCAGGGCTGCTGCGACCAATGACAACTTACAATAACAGGAGTCCCTTCCCTCGCTGGTCCAGGGCCAGCTCACCCTGCAGCCTCATGGGAGAATCCTTCCCAACCTCGTGGGCATCTGGCTCCTGGTGTTGCTGGGCTTCGGACAGCACAGCGTCAGTGCCTGCCTGTCTTCGCTCCGCCTCGCTCGGTCCACACCCCACTCACCTGCCTCTTTTCAGTCACTGAACGCAGAGTCTTCTCCAGATCCAGGACGGTTCCACAGAGACCCTCTTTCCAAAGCAGTCCCCATCTGAGGTCGTGGTTGGGCGTGAACTTGGTCTGGGGCACTATTCAGCTGCACGGGGCCAGGTTACGAACCTCAAGGTGGGAAGCACAGTGCTCAGGAGCGCCACCTCCTGAAGGCTGTCTGGGCTGCAGCTTGCCTGGCTGGCTGCTCAGTCGTGTGGTTTTACTGGGCTCACTACAGCGGCGCTTATTGTGCCTTCTGCCCCATTGCCTCGCTCTTTCCTTCTCTTGCTCCTGAGGAAGTCTTAGAGAAGGAGCCCTGAATTTCTGACCAGGCCAAGTTCTTCGTTTTCCCCAGGGCAGCATTGACTTGAGCCGTGTGGCTGTGATGGGACATTCATTCGGAGGAGCCACAGCTATTCTGGCTTTGGCCAAGGAAACCCAGTTTCGGTGAGTTTTCCAATGAGACTGCTGCTGGCCGCACCCGGTACCCATTCGTTCCACCGATACTTGTGTGCAGGCACTAAGCCCACTGTTGTGGGGGCGGGGGGCTCAGGGGTGAACAAGAGCACAAGGTGTGTGATGTCGCATTGTGTGAGCAGGTTCACCAAGAGCACCATCCCCAGCAGCTGAGTGTCATGAGGACATTCAAACAGGCCGATGTGCCGGAGTGTCGGAGAATGTCACAGGAGCCAAGACCCCAGATCCTTCCCACCAGAGGGAAGCCCTGGTGCCCCAGCGGGAAGGTTGCGCATGGTGGTAGCATGGGAGCAGGAGCACCATGCCAGAAGGGCATTCCCAGTGTGACCCAGAGATATGCAGGACGGGAAACCATTGAGGGCTTTTAACAGCCAGGCCTGTACAGTGTGTGTGTGTGTGTGTGTGTGTGTAATTCAATAGACATGTATATTTACAGATCCCTCTGGCTACTCTCTGGAGATGGGATTGTATTCAGGACAAACATGAAAGCCAGAAGCAAGTCAGCTCGCTGCCATCGAATAGATTCTGACTCCTAGCGACCCAGTAGGGCCGAGAGAACTGCCCTTTGGGTTTTAGAAACGGGATCTTCACAAGCACAGCCAGCCTCCTCTTTCCCCCACAGAGCAGCCGAGGGGTTCAGAACTACTAACGCAGTCAGAACGTAGCCCACAACGCCACCAGGGCGCCCTTGTTGGAGGGAAGCTACATCAGAACCAGGGGGAGAGGGCAGACCTGCAGTTGGCTGGCGGCACCCATGGAGCCAGGGCATATCGCCTCGACGACAGAACCTCCTGTGTGAGAGGGCAAGGAACGAGAGGAACCAAGGCTTCTCATTTTGAGGGGTGTGAGACAAATCTTAGGGTCCTCATTTTGCCTTTGGTGACAGAAATTGCTGCTTAATTTAATTGACCAGGCACCCACTTTCCCTGCTCTGCCCTGCCACACACCTTCTGGGCCGACAGAAGGCTCTGTGGGACCAGGGCACGTAGCGACATGGTTTGGCTACTCCGTCCTGCGTCTCCTGCTGGACAGAGCCCCGTGAGGGCAGGGACGAGGTGAGCCCCCCGTCTCCACAGTTCGGCTTCAGCAGGAGTGGGCACACAAAGAATGCCAATGGAAGCGCCATTCTGGGAAACGGAAACCCGGTTTTAGAAGGTCCCTTTGGTGACAGGTGAAGGCATTCTCCGTCCCAGCGACTGGCAGAAAGATGGGGTCCCTGGCACCCCTTCCTAGCTTCCTGAGCCTTGAGCCCACTGAAGGGAAGAACGCCACCGTCCCCACCATCCTCACTGCTCTTGCCTGGGCGTTTGCCTGGTGTCCCCTGATGTCTGTTCTGTTCCAGGTGTGCTGTGGCTCTGGATGCCTGGATGTTTCCGCTGGAACGAGACTTTTACCCCGAGGCCCGAGGCCCCATATTCTTCATCAATTCTGAGAAATTCCAGACAGTGGAGAGTATCAATTTGATGAAGAAGCTCTGTACCCAGCACGAGCACTCTAAGATCATAACTGTCCTGTGAGTAAACGCCAGCCCGGCTCATGCTCCCAGGGTCCCCATTCCCGGTCTGCCGTGTGGATTATCCACACCACATTTCTGCCCACTCCTGGAGGAGCTGAATGTCGGACTTCCCGAGTTTCTCGGAAGCCCAAGTCCAGTACACATTTCTGTCGGTCCCCTGACGCAGTTCCTTCAGTAGTTTATGTGAGATGGTGTGGCAGGATCCGCTGCCACTTTCTGGATAGAGTGTTAGCAGATTATGTGGGGAGAAGAGATGGGTGCGTCTGGGTGGGCTCTGGAGATCTTTAACTTCGGATGGGAATTGTACTGGGTCTTTTAAAGAGTGTGGATATGGCAGCCCTTTGATATTCATCAGATAGACTTTTAAAATAAAAAAACCCAAACTCACTGTCCGCGAGTCAATTCCAACTCCCGGCAACACCCTGGGGCAGAGTGGAACTGTCCGTGCCGGTTTCCAGGGCGGTAACTACAGGACAGCCAGCCTCGTCCCTCTACCGAGGAGCTGACCTCGTAGCTAACAGCCCTCCAGGAGGGCTCCGAGATGCTTAGAAGTCTTCATGAATGCACGAGTTCACAAGTCTTGCGTGTTTTCTTCTAGAGAGCATCTATGTTCTTAGTAAGAGAGACCATGTTCTCCTTCCTCTGTCCCCACGACTACCAGCTGGCTTTATTTCGGGAGCCATTTCTCACTCGGAAGGACTTTCTTTTCAGTCCGTTTAAGCAGGGTATATGGGAAATGGCCCCGAATCCCCCGGCAGGGCTGAAATCCCATTCCAGAGCCCTCTGGCTTAAGTCTCCTGCCCCTGGTTTGGGGAAAAAGACATGGCCAATCCTTCAAGCCCCCTTGTGTGCCCCTTCCTCTGTGGCCCTCATTCACACTCACGCCGTGGCTCACACGTGGCTGGTGGCCCGGTGCCTGCTTCAGCGAAGCAACAAGTGACTGCATGCACGTCTCTTTGGCACACTCAGGGGAAAGGCCAAATCCAGCAGCCGCCGAGAATGCTGGCGATACGCTCAGTGGTTCCAGATGCCTTCGTCCCCTGTTATTCCACCTGCGGATCAACCCCTTACCTACCTTACCTTTTTTATTTCAGGGCAGTCAGCAGATCTCTGACAAGTTTCCCCAGTCAGTCAGATCCAGGAGAATCTGGCCTCTGGAGGGAAGGAAGGCAAGGGGTCTGTAAGGAGGTTTACTTTGGGCAATGCGCCATGTCCTAATTGGGGGCAAGAGTCCAAGCTCCCATGATATTAGTCTGCACGCTCTTTTGTGCAGACTTAAATCATGCCTTTGTTTAAAGTCTGGCTTCTGGCTAATATCAAACAAATAGTTTAACGTTTCGATTTCCCCTCCCCATGGAACTGACAGATAAGTTAATTAGGAGTCAGTTAGCTGGAATCAGCCTCGTCAGGGTATCCTGACAGTCCAATGTATTGGATATCAAAGGACTTAGCATCTAATCCAGAAAACCCTTCGTGTGCAATTGCCTTCACTTTCTGATGGTCGCGATGCAGCTCTGAAGGGTAGGAGTTGATGTGCTTTGTGAGTTTTTCGACCCCTCCAGGTGGCAGCCGTGGTGTAACATCCCGGGAGACGGCATGTGCTGCGACCCTCCCCTCTTGCTCCTATCCCTGTCCAGCTTACTCAGCTTCCTCCCTGCACTGGCAAGAGCAGTGTGGTCCAGGGGGCCAGCCATCTGTGAAGGCCAGGCACTCCTGGATGCAAATCCTAGTTACATCACGATTATTTGACCTTGACAGATCATTCCATGTCTTTGAGCTTCCGATTCCTCTCGGTCGAAGGGGGAAGTACTTCCCTTACATGGTTGTGAAGATCAGGTGAGAATACCTATAAAGCATATTAACTAAATCCACTGCCATTGAGGCAGATCTGACTTGCAACAGACCTGCAGAGACAGAATAGAGCTGCCCCATCAAGTTCCCAAGGCTGTAATCTTCACAGCAGCAGACTGCCACACTCCCCCCTCCCCCAACTGACCTTATGGATAATAGCCAAGGGCTTTAGCTACTGTGCCACCAAGGCTCCTCTGCACATAGTAGGTGCTTAACAAATAATGTGTGCATCCCAGCCCCTGAACCCTACCGATGACTTGTCTTTCTTTTGTTCTAGTGGTTCTGTCCATCGGAGTCAAACGGACTTTGCCTTTGTGACTAGCAATTTGATTGGTAAATTGTTCTCCTCTCAAACCCGAGGGAGCTTGGACCCCTATGAAGGCCAGCAGATCGTGGTGCGAGCCATGCTCGCCTTCCTACAGAAGCACCTAGGTAAGGCGAGCGCAGGCTTGTGGGGGCAGGTGGGGCCCCAAGAGTCCCTGTAGCACTGTCTTCTATAGAGCCTAGACTCCAGCCCCCACAACAAAGCCGCTGTGGCAGTAACAGGAGTCACACCAGTCCCGTGGTTTCCCAGCACATTTGAGTTAGGTTTGCATTATACTGTCACCCGTGAAGCATGCCTCAGCGTTATGAAAAAGCTTGCGATCCTGGGAGCATGACAAACTCTGACACAGAGACAGAAGTGAGCACCTGTTGTAGGAAAAATGGCACCAAGAGACTTGCTCGATCCAGCCAGGGGTGCACCGGAGCTTCAGTTTCTGAAAGACCCAGTCCCTGCAAAGTGCAGTCACAGGGCGCGTGAGGGACCCAGGCGGCTTCTCTAAGGGAAGAAAGGGGAACCCGAGTGAAAGAGATTGCACAGAATTACAGAAGAAACACTTCTCTGGGAGTTTGTGATCCTGACTCTGTCTCTGACCAGCTGCATGACCTTGGGCTACTTCCCCCTTTCAGCGCTGTGAGCCTCAGCTTCCTCACTGCCAGTGGGGCGTTCACTTCTTTCCACTCGGGAAACCAAACTCGCTGCCCTGGAGTAGGTGCTGACTCATAGCCAGCCCTGTGGGTTTCCAAGACTGTCACTGTTCACAGGAGTAAGTCCAGTCTTTCCAACTGCCGACGTGCGCATCGCAGCCCAACTTGTGGCCAATACCCCACCAGGGCTCCTTGGCCACTGTCCAAATCCAAGTTCACCACCTCTGACGTCTGCGTTGGGGAAGTTTTGGTGACAAGAAGGCAAAATGAGTGGAAATGCTTTCAAAAAACAGCATGAGAAGATGATGACTAATGTACCTCAGGCTCATTGAACTCTAAGGCCCTTAGAGGTCATTTGGTCCCCTCCCCGCCCAGAAGAGGTACCCTCTCAGACCTTCTCTGCCACGTGGTCAAGGGACACAGCTGTTCGCACGGACAGAGCCCTGGTACGCAGGTCAGCTTGGTTCACCACTGGGAACTCTCATGTGTTTTATTTACGTAATACTGTTTTGTTATATTTGGGGTGGAAGTGTCCACAGCCAGACACTCCATTCCATAATGGCGATCCGCACTGTCAGATACTGGTCTCGCCTTCTTCACGCCATGTCTACAGTCCCCTTGTTTCCGGTTCTGCTTGTTCCTTTCGCATTGGCACAGCCCCACCCTGCTCATCGGGAAGATTTGGCTCACAGATGGTTTTCAGCGGCACAGCACGGCAGCTGGGCCTCCTTACTGCTGTGGTGGTGGTCCACTCATTGTTGAGCTGTACATGTCAGAGGAGACCAGCGCAGTTGTACAGTTGTACTAGACAGCGATCATCGTGAAGTCTTAGGAGATTGCACTAACGGAGTCAGACACGTTGTATGGTAGCATGCTCATCTCAGCCCCTGGAACTGGGAGGAGGAGAGGGTGTCTTTACTGTCTTGGGATATTTATAGGCAGCCATAAGACATGCATGTTCAGTAGTTGCCTAGGTCACAAGGTGGGTGGAATCTACAGTAAGGTCCCTGAGCTCACAGGTGACGAAACCTATACGTGCCTGGGGGGAAGGTATGAGGAGGGCAGGGTGAGATGGCAGAGAAGAGATCGTAAAAGGATGTCCGCTCTGTAGGGAGATAGAAGCCACCATGTGCTCACTTCAGGGCAGCATAGCTGTTCGGGGAGAATCTGTGGAACGATATTTGGAGCAGGATAATATACTTGGACTTTACCGCTAACTTACCAAAGTGGAGGCTTTCCTACCGTGGAATACTAGCTTTCCAGATTCGCTCTGGTATGAGCTAAGGAATGCAGTCCTCGTCATATCTCCCTCAGTGTTAGTTTCCCACACGTACACAGCAAAACACAGACCCGTTCAACTGTTTCTACCAGTAGAATTCAGTGACATTGATTTTATTCGTCGAGTTGTGTCACTATTCTCACCTCCCTTAAGGAGAGTCAATTAACATAAGCTCACTGCTGCTCCTTTCTGATCTCCCAAGTTAACATAAACTCACTGCCGCTCCTATCTGATCTTCTAGGGTACTGCAGCTCCCTGATCTCATGGGAAGGGGTTTCAGAAAGTTTGTGGGAAATGTCCACTATATTTTAATTCCATTTTCCATTAACTTTTTGAAGCCCCATTGTATAATTAGTCGATCAAAGAACACAGTGTTCAAGGCAGACATTTCTCACTAGTTACTATTATTTGATTTTATGAAGACTGAGGAGATATTTTTGATATACGGCTCAGAGATTATCTCCGGGCAATGGCTTCAGGGACTATGCATTACTTTACGAGCTAGCCTACTATTGAGCTGGAGAAAGAAACGGCGTAAGGGCCTGGTTTCAGTGCGGGACTCAAAGACTTATCTCGGGGTGCTCAGTGTCAAGATTCCTCCTGTCTACGTGGGTCCATTCAGTCTGGATATTTCCAAAATGTAAAGTTCTTTTCCACTGTTTTGCTCATTTTGGGGGCCAGGAGACAATTAGTCTTGTTAACGTGGTCCCTTTCCTGAGTCTTGAGTTTTCTCCTTTCTCTTTTGCTCCAGGCAAGTAGAAACTGAGAGTTGTAAAATACATACTCAACTTTAATAGTATTAAGAATTGAGATTTTAGTTAAGTTTTTTGGTTGCAAGGACTAAAGATTCTCTAGTTTGCCTAAAGAAGGGGTGAAGAGTTGACATGTCTAAGGATATTCTTGGACTAGATGGGAAATGAAAGGTTACAGAAACCAAGGTCGCTGGCAGGACTTCATTTCTCTCTGTCTCTAGCATAGGTCCGGGCTCTCTGTCTCTTCCTATTGTCACATCTGTCTTTCTGCCCCCGTGTGTGATTTTCTTTCTGCTCTGTGTTAAGAGTTTGGCTGATGGTGTCTGCTTGTCCACAGTGCTTCATCATTTGGATTGGCTTCAGCTTCTCATGCCTTGTTCTTTCTACTTGTTGACACGATTTCCAGTTCAGTCCCCACCCCAGGTTCTCTTGGCCTTCCTAAGCGAGAGTCTCAACACGAACCCACGTTTGCCTGCCAGGATAGATTGTAGACCACTGCGCAGCGTGGGCCCAGGGCTCTCTTGGCTGGACGTCCCTTTCTTATCCAGTCAGAGTGGAGTGCGAGACCATTATCTGCATCCTGCAGAAGGAAGTCAGGGCTTGTCTGGATTGCTAAACATTAGCCAAACTCCAACCTGGAGGCAAAATCAGATATTTTGTAACTCCTTCTGTGCTCCCTGATCATCTCCTCAGGAACCATCCAAGACCATATGCGAGTGGCAACTCTCAGAGGTATGGGGTCACCTGTGGTGGCCTCTGGAGTTTGTCCACCTGATTTGCACCTGTGCTCCTTACAACGCCGGGCCCATTCATTGTCCCCTCCCATTGGACACACTGCTTGTCATGTGCCTTTAGAAGTTTGGCCTCCTGACCTGAAGGTGAGACGTTAGTTGTGGTCGGACCAGTTCCTGGTACTGTCACCCTGGAAGGCCTGAGTGCATGGGCATTTCCACCAGCTGCGTGGCAATTGTGGGTTAGATGGAGTTCACCTTTAAAGCACATCTGGCCAAATGCCGTGGTGTTGCCTTTTTTTCACCTAAATTTGCAGTTTTACACTTATGCCTCTTCCTGTCACCTTGCTCATCAAGAGTCATTATCCCCCTGACTTTAGAGACTTCAGTTGTTAACAGAGACCTTCCGGCATCATTTGTAACCACCAAACAGGACTTGGATGGGGGCGGGCCACATCCTCAGCCCGCTTTTCTCTCTTTCCTCTTAGGCAGTAGGTCAGGGCTGAAGATTAAAAATGACAAGTGCCCTCCACCACGTGACCGGGCTCCCTTTAGTAGCTAAGGTGCTCGTTGCTGGAGCCCGAGAGAACAGGAGCTGGATGGAGAGAGCTTATACTGTAGGAAGATTGTAGGACTCAGGTCCTGCCAGTCCCTGTCACATACTGTACATGCACTGCCGTGTGTAATCCCACCATCAGGCCAGGCTGGTGGGACGCTTCTTACTCACTCCCTTTACAGACGAAGAAGGTTCTGAAGCTTCGTGGAGGCCCTTGGGCCATGGCTATTTGGTTATTCATTTGCACAGTCAGTGTGCAGCCAGGCTTTGTCCTTCCAAAGTCCACGTACTGAATCGCTGCTCTGCACCTCCCGTCAGTGACTACCGGGTCTGCCCTTTCTCAGACTGCTTAGCTGTTTCCAGGGCTCAGGCTTCTCCTCTGGCCTCATGCCATTTCCACGCTGGCAGCCCCTAATTAATATCGCCACTTGAAGCTCACCTGTGAACACTGGATTTATACAGCCCATGACCAGCTGCCCAACATCGACAGTAGAATAGATGTCTAATCGACATCACAAACAGAAAGCTGTTGACTGGCAGTCTGTCCCCCTAAGCTAGTAGAAAATCCAGCCTTCTGGCCACTCAGGCCCCAATCCTCCCCACTCTTTCTCTTCTCTCACATTCGCTATTTGCTCGTACCTTCCAAAGAAGCAGGGACTCTCGTCACTGCCCACCACCGCCACAGCTGCCATCCCGCCCGGTCCAAGCGTCCGTCTTCATCAAACCGCTGCAGTGATTCCCCCGCTGGGCGCCCACAGCCTCCTTCGCCCCGTACACGGTCTTGTCTTAAAAGAGCAGCCAGAGCAATTCTTTTAGAAAGCAAGTCAGATCCTGGCACGCTTCCTTTCAAACACCCCCCGCCTCCTGCTCCCAGTTCTTGGAGTCAGGGCCAGTGCTCCGTGCCCTGCTGAGCTCACGCTGCCTGCCCGCAGCACCTCCCAACATGCCTGCCCGCTGCCCTTCTCTGCCTGCCTGCTCTCGCCCCCAGGACCCCGACCCCCAGGCACCCTCCCACCGCAGGACCTGTTCACGGGCTTCTCTCTGCAGGTCAACTCATGGCTCCTTCCCAAAGTCTTCGCTCAACTCTCACCTTCTTAGGGAGGGCCCCATATAAGATGAACTATGGCGCCGGCCCCTCGGCTTCACCTCGGCTGCCACAGGGCTCTCCTGAGCCGACACATGGCCCTTCCTTCCCGTGACCTGGCCTGCCTCTCATGCTGCACCACTGGTGGTGGGGATTGCGCGTCCTGCCCACTGGACTGAGCTCTGTGAGCTCTGGTTTCTGTCGGCCTTGTTCCCCAGGATAGAGTCCCGCCCAGGTTCTCCCCTACGTGAGTAGGGAGCGGGTGTTTGTTGGGGACTGCTCCATGCCAGGTCCTTGGTAGGGGACCGGGCACCTGACAAGGAAGGAGGCTGAGGCCTGCCTTCTTCTAGGTTCTTGGTTTAAGCAAGGACACCACGTCCCTGCTCGGCTTGTGCCCCATTCCTTCCACTGGAGGCCCTGGACCCTTTCTGATGATTCTTGCCAGGTCGTTAGCAACACCTATCCATAGTCCAAGCGGGCTCTCTCTCAGCCATGCTTGGTCTTAAGTTGGTTCAAGGTGTGGCCACCTTCCGGCACAGTGGCCTTCGCTTGTTTCCCAGCAGCCCTGAGCCTGTACGTAGGCGTTCCTTTTTCTGATCCTTTCTGACCGGGGTTTGAACTCTGTCTACCACTCACCAGTGGGAATGACCTTGGGCAAGTCAGGTAGCTTCACTGAACCTGTTGTTTCAACTGTAAAATGGGGTTTGTGATCACACTTAGTTCAGAGGAGTGTTGTGAATGTTAAATGACCCGATGCACATAGAGCATTTAGCACAGTGCCTAGCATGAACATTACCCACTGTCATTACTACTGAATTGGTTTGGATTAAGTAACGTCCCTTGTAAGGCATTTAGAAAGGCAGCGAATAAATAGTCACTGCCCTGGATGCTACCACCATCTCGACCACTACAGTCAAGCCCTTTAGTGTGGGGAAGTCCCAGTGCTCCTCCTTTGAAGGATGGCCCACCACGTCCATGCCAGGCACTCTGTTTCAGACATACACCAAGCCCTGGTGGCACCGTGGGTTAAGCGTTAAGAGATGGATGCTTTGGACCCACCGTCCACACTGAAGGAGGAAGGGTGGCAGTCTGCTTCCGCATAGATTTTCACCCTCGGAAACCCAATGGAGCGGTTCAACACTACCCCATAGGGGCGTTGTGAGTTGGAATCTTCTCGACAGCCATGGGTTTCGGTTGATTGTGTTATGAGGTTTGCCTAACCTTCCCCTTGTTCCCCATTCAGACCTGAAGGAGGACTATGATCAATGGAACAACCTCATTGAAGGCATCGGACCATCACTCACTCCCGGGGCTCCACACCATCTGTCCAGCCTATAGACACAAGCGGCCCTCTTCACAAGGTCGCTTGAGCTGCGGTTCCACTTGAGGACTGCCCAGGAGCACCCATATGCCTTCATCAGCAAATGCTCACATGACCCTTCACAGACAGAGCGTGATCACACTGCTCATCGGGCACCTAGGGGCTCTGATCTTGGGTTGTTGATCAGCACATGCCTGGACTTGATTCACTTGTTAATTGGCAGACTGGCTTTTGGGGGCCTGAACCCTGGTGATGTGGAAAACCAGCAGTAGGGCGGGGCTCAAGTTGAGCTGTGAGGCCCAGATGTTTGGACTCCCTCACCTTGGACCAGTGTGACTTCTGCAGTGGCAGAGAGGAAGCCCAAGAATGGAGGTGAAATCCGCTCCTTCTGGCCCTCTCTGGCCCAACCTGCCACTATCTTGTCCTGCCTTTCAACCTTCTCCGTACCCAGGACCACTTGGTGCGTTCTGTTTATGTTCGAGTCTTCCCGTTGCGTGACACTGGGCACGTGGTACTTGTTATACTTGTGACTTCCTGAGAAGCAGACAGTATTATCCTCACTGCACAGAGAGCAAAACGAGGGTGCAAAGGGGTACCTTAGAAGCTCTGGGTGTCTTTGAGGGGTTTGCTAAAAATGTATCTTCAAGGAAAATGAACCCCAGAAGACTGAGATGAGGAAGGCCGAATAACAGTGCGAAGCAGCCCTCTGCACTCGTCCTGGTCCCCGAAGCGAGGTCGGCTGACCAGCTAGAACTCAGAAGGCCACCCTGGAAAGGCCGGCAGCAACTTGCTCTCAGCTCTTCCTTCAAATGCAGTGAGCGTCCAACTGGCTCAGAATTGGTCACTTTTGGCTATCTGTGTCCTAGCCCTGAGGCCCCAGCCCCCAATTTAAGTCAGAGATAGAGGGTTTAGTTCCATTTGGTTCCATTTTGGGTGTTTTATAATGTGAGTGATATTAATACTCATCTTTGCCTAAGGGTACGTTGGGCGATTCTTTTTATTTCATCTGCACTAGAGCAAGATAGGGAGCCATCTGGGAATGGCATTGCCTTCTGTCTGTCTTTGTTCACTTACCACTTGGAAGGATCTCTCAGAGGAAAGCAAGTCTTCCCGAGGCTGCAGTTCCAAGCTGGTTGTGACAAAGAGCCTGAAACACCCCTCTCCACTCTCTCTGAACTTCTTACCAGAGGAAGCCAGAGCAAAGTGCAAAGGGGCCATACAGTAGGCACAAACCAAGACAGGACTAGGTGTCACCCCTCAGCCACGGTTCTTTCTAGAAATCGAAACGGCAGATCCATTGACCCTCAGGAGGGTGAACATTCCCAGTGTGACACCCCAGGAGGAGGGTGTCCCTAAAGCCCAGGGCTCTGGAAGTGTGTAGCCCTGTCCTGAGTTCTGGTGCCACCCCTGCTAAGTGGGTCAATCTGAGAAGACAATGATCTCTTTCTAGTGTCTGACATGGGGGCCTGCATTCCAAATAGTTAGGAGGACTGAGGGAGAGGGTGTGTAAACCATGGATTAATTAAAAGTATCTTTCTTACCTTCCAAATGCAGGATTTGTCTGTTTATTTATAGTTACTGTCTTCTAGCTTAATAGCTTTGTGAGGAGACGACCCATCTAATTTCTACCCGCCAAGATTTGTGGAAACCTGCTGACTGGCCCTGGTGTGCGGTCACTTTTGTCAGTGGCCGTTGGCTGCTTCAAAAGACTGTGTGTGTATTCTGGAAGTAACAGCACAGGACCCAGCGTCTACTGTAGACTCACAAATCATGCAGATTCACAGTGTAACGCCCTGTGAGAGAGACCTGTAACCGCCCAAGAGAAGTGGTATTCAGAAACTGGGCTCACCGCCTCCCTTCAGCTTATGTTCTGCTAATGACTCATTTATCCAGCAATATTGGAGGACGTGGATTTTCCATATAATTGAGGGTTAGTCTGTAAGCCACAAAATGTACTATGGGCTATATTGAATGATCACCTCCCCCACAGATCAGGTACATACTTCCCAATCAGCGTTCACTTGACTTTTAGGATATTTCTGTCAGGGTAGGCTGGCTGAGGTGACAGTATCAGGTAACCCCCCCAGACCACAAAAACTCATGTCCTGCCCAGGCAGTATGTCTGCTGTGGGTTGACTAGAGGCTCTGCATCCCTCTTCTCCTCTCTTCCTGTTAGGCTCAGACTGGCTGGGTTCTTCTTGCACCCCCAACAGAGACCCTAGCCCATTTCCAGTTTGTGCCCTGGCACCATTGCCCCTCTTACCCTCCCTATTAAGATTCTGGGCTCTTTGAAATGTCAAATGATACCCTCCAACTCCTTGTCTTGGCTCTCTGGGGTTCTTGACATGGTCCCCACTTCCTTCTTCTGGGGCACCACCGCCCCCCGTGACTGTAAAGAGACAGGGCAGTCACATTGATACACAAGATGCAGCATCACTAGGAAACACCCTTTCTGCCCCCTCACAGCCTGTCCCTATGCCATAACTGCGTGCCCAGACACCAATGCCACTAAAACAAACTTAGCCAACGTCGATTGGGCCTTTACTATGGTCAGGGACTGTCATAAATGCTTGACATGCACTAGATCTTACTTATTTCTCACAGTCACCCTATGAGGTTAGGTGTATTCACCTCGTTATATGTCTGAGGAAGCAGAGAAGTGCCCTAAACACTCTCAGTTCAGGAATGTAGCAAGGCTGGGTCGTACACATCAAACCCAAGCTCCGACTCGCTGGGCCACGCTGCCCAGCACACACGCACTTGGTTCTGCACCCGTCTCTTCAAGTTGGCAGGGCACAGGACGTACCATTCCGCAACGGATTGAATCAAGACATCGGTTTTTCCAGCACTACTTGAAAATGGGTCAGGAAGAAGGAACTGAGCTTCACTGGGCACTGGTCCAGGTGATCTGTTGCTTTGAACACCTGTGCTGGTATTGACAAAAAGTATCGAACGTACTACAGACTGCCAGAAGAACAAGCCAGTCTGCCCGGGAAGAAATCCATTCAGAATGATCCTTGGAGGCGAGCAGGGAGAGTCGTGGTCTCACATCCCGTGGACATGCTGTCAGGAGGGACTGGTCCCTGGAAAAGGACAACCGTGCAGAGGACCAGTGAAAAAGAGGAAGATGCTCAGTGAGCTGCGTTGACGTGGTGGCTGTAATAATGGGCTCAATAGAACAATTGTGAGGATGGCCCAGGACCGGCAGGGTTTCCTTCTCTTGTGCAGAGGGTCACGGTGAGTCGGAACGGACGTGGAAGCACCTTACCACAGCAGCAACAACAAAGGTTAGGTATAATTTGCCTTTGCTTTTAATGGCCCTGGAAGGTCTGTGTTCTGATTCCAGTTTCTAATGGCTCGCTCGCACCCTGACTCAGCAGTGCTATAACCAGTAGAATTACACCCATAGGTTCCAAGGCTATAAATCTTTACCAGAGCAGAAAGCCTCCTCTTTCGCCTGTGGAGCAGTTGGTGGGTGTAAACTGCCAAGCTTGTGGTGAGCAGCCAACGACGCCACCTGAGTTCCTGCATTTCAGTCATCCCTCCGTTCCATGTCAACGTCCTCATGGGAAGCCTGCTGGCTGCCACGCGGCTACTGCTTGGAGCTAAATGAATGAAGAGACCGTTTCCCGTTCTCGTTCCTCCGATTTCCCTATGCTTCCCATCAAAAAGCAAAACCCACAGCCTAGTTCTAGATCACTGTCCAATGATTGCACCAGCAATAATTCGCCTTGATGTTTTGATGTGGATTATAACGTTGCCGCTGATCATCCACACACGACTGTGCCAGATGCAAAGCACAGACCCTGAAATGTCGAACGGGAGATGAGGTAAGAAAGCCCAGGCCAGGCTGGCTAAAGGTGGGGAGTGGGGGGAGGTTGGGAGAAGGAGTGTGTTAACCGAGGCTAATTGCATCCTTGTTTTCTGCAGCCTTAGAGGTCTGGGAGACTGAAGGAGCTGGTGAGGAACTGCCTAGGCAGGGAGAGAGCAGCCTGTCAATTACCTTCTGCCAAGCTCTCTCCATCGCTGCCATATCCAGTTTCTCCCCAACTGCTCTTGTTTCCTCTCTCATGGTGGCCCTCACACCAGCCTCTCCTGCACATGGCACGTAAATATAATCCCACTATCTCCTCACACCTGGAATAATTTGGATAGTCCCCTGCATTCTCAATCTGTCTTGCCTCCTTTTTGCCCTGCTGTCAGATCTTCATGAAAACCCCTTTTGTATGAAAAGGTGGGCTGTCCAGGTGGGCTCAGGTATAGAGAACAAATAAACAGGAGCTCTGGGTTCTTAGCAATAACACTCTCTCACCCTGTGACCTTGTGTTCAGGCTTCTCCTCTTTTGACCTCAGTTTCCCCATCTGTAAATAGGGGCTCTAGAGGGCGGCCTATCTACTCAACAGATCTCGCAGACCAGACCCATTCTGGTTACCAGCGTGTCTATCATCGAACTCTCAAGCTTCCATGGTCTCCCCTTCCTGCAGAGCTGCCTCTTCCTCCTCACCCTCTCCTCCTCCTGTCTGGGCTCACCCTGGCCCTCCTGCCCTCTCTTCTTACTGTGCACTCTGCTTTCTCCACAGTCCCCCAGACCTCACCCCTCCCCATTTATGCTTCCTCTCCTGGTGTTTTGTTTTGTTTTGTTGTTTTTCTTGTTTGCAGGGCCACCTCACCTACTTTCTGCATACCCGTATTCTGTATATCTGAATATAAGGGAAAAAATAGAACTAAGAGCTAATGGAATATTTCCATGAGCATTTTGAAGCCATGTCACCCTGCTAGATGTGTCAGGCTGGATAGACAAGAGAAACAAATTCCTAGACACTCATGTGTATAAGAAAGAGGTTTATATAAAAGAGCAATTGAATATTGAGAAAACATCCCAGCCCAGTCCAGATCAAGTCCATAAGTCTGATATTAGCCCATGTCTCCAATACCAATCTATAAAGTCCTCTTCAGACTCACGCAACACATGCAATGATGCTGAATGCAGGAAGATCACAGGCCAGTGGTGGAAAGTCTTGCAGATCCAGTGGCGGTGGAAGCATCTCAGCGCTGGTAGGGGTCTCCACGTGGCTCCTCCAGCTCAGGGCACGAGCGTAGCTCCATATGTCTTGTCAGCTGCAATGTCTTCCAGGGAGTGAGCATGTGTCCCGCCTCCAGTGAGCTACTTATCTCCTTAGTGCCTCCAAATGAGGTCATCAAGCTGCAACGGGATTGACAGGCTAAACTCCACCCCTTCACTCTTAAGTCTCAAACTGACAACAGATTATGTAACTACTACACTAGAGTTGCCCTGGTGGCATAGCAGGCTTCTAATCACAAGGTCAGCAGTTCCAAACTACTAGCCACTCTACAGGAGAAAGAGGAGGCTTTCTACTCCTGTAAAGACGTACAGTCTCAGAAGCCCACAGGGACAGGTCTTCTCTGTCCTATCAGGTTAGCCTTGTCTTGATGGCAGCGAGGTGAAGTTGCATGCACTGCTCATCAGTTCTAGCCACAGTTCTTCTCTGAAAGCCTTCTCGTTTACATTCAACTCACATTTGATCTCTTGGCCTCCTGCTCCCCAAGAGAAATGTAGTCTGTGCCTTATTTAGCATTGTGCACTTTACTACATGATTCCAGGAGCGGGGCCCATCTGTTGGAGAGGGGAAATCATCCTCTCGTTGACTGGCAGGGATCGGGGGTCCACCCTGATCTTGTTCCCCAGCCAGCGTTGAGAACAGCTGGTCTTCGCCCAACCCCTCTGAGGACTCCAGCTGCCCCCTCTTCATTTGCTTTTGGTTTTCCCAGACCCCAGCTGTGGGGCCCCGGGGAAGAGCCAGAGACCGTGCAGCCAAAGGCAGCTAGAGCAAACTTCTAGTACACATGGTCGTGGTGCATGAGGGAGACGAAGGGAGGGGGCCGAGCACAAATCCCACTCATGTTGAAAGTGAGGGAGAGCCGTTTGCCACCTCATTTTTCCCATCTTTTCAGCTAAAAAAAACAGCCGCTCAGAAATACAGGCCCCTTCAGCCTGGGAAGCCAGATGGTCCCCAGCGTTCAGCTTGCCAAGTGTGTGTATAAGTATTCGTCTTCACGGAATCACACTCAGGCTCGGGTCCAGACACTGGTACTGTGCTGCCGTTTGACTGGGAGCCAGTCAGCCCTTCTGAGCCGTGGTTTTCCGTTTCCGTGAAATGGGGTCACTGATGTCATCCCTGCCCACCTCAAAAACTTGGGGGTGTGGGTTGAGAGGCGGAGAAGGCCCAGTGTAAGATGTGGTAGTCTACAAAGCAGTGGAGGGATGGGCATGAGGACGAAGGGAAGCCCTGTCCGAGGTTCTGTGTCAGACACTGTGCTCAGTGGTCCAATCCTAAGAGCATTCCTATAGGATTGTAGCTGGTATGCCCACTCTAGGAAGGAAGGGCTCAGAAAGGTTTGCTAAACCAACCGCAGTCACCCAGCAGGTAGGTGCTGGTGCCAAGATTCGAGCCTTAAGGTCGGGCTTCAATGGCAATGCCCGTAACACCTGTTCATGCCTTCCTCCCAGGAAGAAAGGTTCTTACCCC